GGCCCCTCCGAGTAGCTCCGACGGCTGCGAGGGGGCCGGGAAAGCGAGCGGCGAAGCGGAGATGGGGTCTGTGATTGTTATCATCGCTCTGCCTCTGAAAGGAGAAAAAACATGAAACCGTGGAGCCGGCGATGGAGGCGCTCCTGGACGCGTTTCCCCTCCTCTTCAGCGGACAAACCCCTTTTAAAGCAGCAGCGAGGAGCGCTCCCGCCTGCCCCCCGCCACCTCCCGGTGTTTAAATCAGTGCTTCCCACTCCTCGCAACATCTCGGCCCCAAGGGGGAAGCAGGGGTGTAAATCAGTGCTCCCCACTCCTCGCAACATCTCGGCCCCAAGGGGGAAGCAGGGGTGTAAATCAGTGCTCCCCACTCCTCGCAACATCTCGGCCCCAAGGGGGAAGCAGGGTTGTAAATCAGTGCTCCCCATTCCTTGCTGCATCCTGACCGGGGGTGAGCGGAGGTGTAAAGCACCGTACCCAGGTTGTCCGGGGGTCTGGGAGGGTTTCCTAAAAGACCTGTGTTTTGGCCAGGTACTGCAGCACCGGGGAAACGCTCGCTTGGCTGGCATGCGGGGCCCTTCCCCGTGCAGAGAAGCTGGAAAAGCGCTGTTCTTGCCCTTCCTGAAACCCAGAGCTTTCGCACAGGTTTGCAAACCCTTAGGTTCATGGCAGCGCAGTAAGGGGGAAAAAAAAACGACCAAAAAAAAAGCCACCAAAAAACAAAAACAACCCAAACAACACGAAAAACCACCAAAAAAAATTCCAAACCCATCCACCATCATCATTCGCCGCACAGAGCCGCGCTGGACCCCGGCCTAGTGCAACTGGCCCTGCAGCAGCTTCTACCAGCCCCCCCGAGCCGAGCTTGGCTTCCCTTGGTCTGCTGGGGGGCGGGGTTATGTTGGTCCTTCAGCTACGAGGGCCTGCGGAGCCCGATCCGGCCGCCGCTGTTTGCAGCAGCTCCCCTGGGCCTTCCTTCTTCCCTCCTCTCCCTCTGCCCCGGCAGGGCTGAAATCACCTGTCGCGACAAGCGCTTATCGCGTTACCGACCTCCTATATCGCAGTTTTTAGCCCCGAAAAGGTCTCTGCGTCCCGCACATGGCTCTCGCCTCGCCTGCGACACCGGCCCACCCAAACTGGGGAATGATGGGGGCGACTGGGGCTTGACGGAGAGGGGCGATGGGGTCTGGCCCCCGCCCCGAGACGATGCGCTCAGCTCTGGGGAGGGGAGGCTGGATGCCCACCTCGGTCCGGATGCCATTCCCGACAGGAGGAAAAGTCTGATCCTGCCGGGTCCTGGGCTCGCACTGCTCCCAGCACCTAAAAGAGGGGTTTGCTTTTTCTGCTAAGTTCCTGAAATCCTGAGATTCTGACATCCTGATATCCTGAAACTCTGAAACCCTGGCATCCTGAAATCCCGAAACTGCGAAACTCTGAAATATTGACTTCCTGAAATCCTGACTTCCTGACATCCTGAAATCCTGAAACTCCGAAATTCTGACATCCTGAAACTCCGAAATCCCGCAATCCAGCCACCTCCGAAGCGCAGCAGCGCGGGGAGGGAGGGGGAGAGGGACCGGAGCAGCGCAGACCCCACGCAGGAGCGTCCCCCCGAGACGGGGAGAAGGGAACCACACCAACAAGGGGCTGTGAGGGAAGAGGGGACCCCCAAGTCCACCTCAAGCTGCGGCCCCCCAGGAACTGTCCAGGAGTAGCGGGGGGGGAGGTGGCAGAGCTCCGGGGGGGACACTCCGGCCCCCAGCACCGCACCCCTCGTACTCCTGCTCACGGGCGAGGGGAAGGGTCCCCTTGTGCCAGGCGTGGGGAGATGCGGGAGCAGCAGCGGCCCCGGGATTTCTCGACACGTGTGGGAAAACCCAGCAGGCACCTGACTGCAGCCACCTGGGGGGAGCTCCACGGGGGTAGAAAACTTGCGAGGAAGAGGAAAAAAAAAATCTTCCTTGTTTAATATCTTTTCACCCCATATTATTTTTTACCCTATTTATTTTCTTTTTACCCTTTTATCCTATTCTTTTTACTCTAATTTTTTTACCCTTTTACTCTGTTTTTCACCCTTTACTCTATAAGTTTTCCCTCTTTAAAACAGCACTTTGGATTTTGTTGCATTATTATTTATTTTTTTAAAGAAAATTTTTAAAAAACCCAGCACCCTGGAGAGCCAGGAATAATGGTCAGAGTTTTACAAGAATGTTCCTTAAAATACAGATCAAGAGCGGCTCGGACATTTTTTCTTATTTAAATGGAGAGTTGCAGTGCTTTATTGCCAGCTTTCTAGCGCATGGGACATTTACCCGATCAAAACCAATTTATATCATCGATTTTAGCAGTCTATCCTGGGTATAACCTCTCCCTAACCCAGCCAGCGAGATATAAGTGGTCTGGAAGGGGAAGATGTTGGACGGCTGAGCCCCTGCAGGGGCCGGGCTCCGTCGAGCTGAACTTCAGGAGACCCAGAAAGCCCT